CTTGGAGCAGGACTTGGATGAGCATCGAGACTGAGACTCCCGAGACTATCCCCCGAACCCGATGGCGAAGAAGCAGACCCAGTAATCGGAGTCCCTGCGCTGGCTGCACCGGCCAACGCCTGTGTCATCCCCGATAAGGCGTGAGCAATTCCAGCATCCTGAAGATCATCGACGTCGGTCCGTGGAACGTCTCCCGCAGCCAACACCGATGTATCAAACTTCTTTCTGAATTCCAAGTCTGCTAAGGCTGCCACTCCGGCCGCTGTATCCTCAGCATCGATATCAGCGAACACTTTCGCATCATCTGGTGACACCAAGCCCGTAGTGTCGCGATCGCAGTCGCTTTCAACGGCCGTGGTGTCAGCCATCACAGCTTCCAGCTCGGCCACTAAGTCTATGTCCTCGTCGTCGCACTCCATGCCCAGCTCTGCCTGGCGAACTTCGGCCAAACGTGGCCAGAACATCAATCACCGTCCCCCAACAGCTAAACGATTCCCAAATCAAAATGTTTGAAAGCAACACTGAGAAGCCCGAGCCCAAACTCAGACACAACCAAACGGATCAAATTGACTCAAAACGAACGTTTCTGAATCCACCTGCGCTGCTTCAATCGGAAGGACGTCCTGCTTGGCCTTGGGCTTAGCGGGCTTCTTGTTCTGACGAGGTGTCTGAGGAGAATCGTCCAGGCAGGGCAAGTCACACTTGACGGCTTCCCCCAGTCCCACGAGGTGCGCCCCATCCACGCCATCAGCGTGGATGTCTGCCCACTCATGCTCATGCACTGACATGGTCACTTTTCCCCATGACATGCAAGTCTCGTGGAATTGGGCGAACATGTGCAATGATGATTTCGTCTCTGGCGGGGTGCAGATTGCAAACGTGGCCGTGCTGTCGTCGAACTTACACTTGGCCATAGTGGCAGATCTGGCATGCACATTAAGCAGCAACCAACAGGAGGAGGCGCCATCAACCTCGGATAGTTTGAGCACGTGCGCGGTGGACATTGCGAACATGTCGTCGCACTTCTTCAACTCACGGAACCATTTGCGGTTGTACCGGGCCGCCCAGAGCAGTGCCGGCATCGTCCCGTTTGAAGGGTCTATTGGCCTACCTTTGCTTGTATCAGGGACCGACGAGGCATCAGCGATTGGGGGCGGGCTGAATCGCATTGGCGTCTTCAGAACATCATTTATGCGATCGGAGTGTTCCACTGCGTCCTCAAGGATCGGCCCAACGTGCGCTGCGACTTCTGACCATTTCCGTGACATGCCCCTTTCCCCCATGCCTGCTTTCTTCCTTATTGCAAGTCTCGCATCAAGAAGAGGGAGCCGAATTTTAGGCGCCCTCTTGCATATACATTGCAACATGTTATTGAGACCTTCTATCTCCTGAGTGTCTCCTGCCCAATGGATGGCTACAAACCTTAGCGGACAAAATAATTGCATGCTGAGGGTCCCAGATACAGAAGCACGCTCGAGATCATTGCTGAAGAGAGCGCGAACTTTGAGAGCTGTGATGTGCAGAGATTCTGCTGGCTTGGACAAAAGCAACTGTGCTGTTCTGATCCTCTCCTCACATCGCACGTTTGCGGGCTCACGCACAAGGTTCAACAACGCGTACGGGAAATCACCGACTCTGGCCATAATGCGCCTGTCCCATTCTGCTAGAATCCTCAAGACCATTTTCTTCACTCGAGCCCAAATGCGGTCGTGCATCTCTGGTGCAGCCTTGTGGATAATATCATCCCAGTGACTGCGAGACAGCATATCTGCCCCCCCGGGCCCCCCCATGTACTATAAGCTATCGCGCTCGCTGGCCCCTCCCTCCTCCGTATCCTCTCTTCCCTCCCTCCTCCCCTCCTCGGGCCTCCTCCTCCATCCTTTTCCTCCTCTTCCTCATCCAGCGGCAAGGTTGGCTCAAGCGCTCAAGCCACTGTGTCGTTTCTTTCGCAGTCGTGCTCTTGTCGAACAAAGCATCCCCCCTGCATTAACACCACAACAACGCATGCTTACTCACTTCCCGGAGCCCTTCCCCCTCCCCGCCTTGAAATTGAGATCTGATATCTTTGGCCTTTTTCCAGACGAGCCGGGCCAGACTGGATGGTTCATCACGAGGCCTCTTCTTCATCAGCGAGTACAGGGCATGACTCAACGGTTGTTTGGCCCGAAGCGAAATCTGGAGGACAACCCAGAATAGATCCTCTTTCACCCCTTTGCCTGCATCATCGGCCCATTTCGTTGTTTTGGTTGTAAACAGTGCCGAATCGTCCTGTCCCATTTCGTCCAACTGAGCTTCGCCATCTTTTTTCAAGTTTTCTGCTATTTTGGCAAGGGTCTGCTGACCATCGGACTTCTTCTGGGCCATAATTGATAACAAAATCGGTCTCAAGACTCTGAGCGGACACTTGCAGACATGTTCTTCACAAGCAACTGTGTTCCCCCACCGCCCCGATATTGGTTTCGGCGGAACCGTAGCGGCAAACTCGGCAGCACCAGCCGGGCTGAAGGCGAGCCAGGCAGCGAATACTCCTCTGGCATTCTGCCGCCACATGTGCATGATTTTTGCCAACGTCGCGTAGTACCTGGGGGGGCTCTGCTTTGGGCCCCGACTTAGTTGGGCCCCGACTTAAGGCCCCGGCTTAGTTTGTTAGTTGGGGCCCCGCCGATTTAGTTGGTCCCGACTCAGTTGGTTAGTTGGGGCTAAAATGGAACTTGGGCGGGGGGGGTTGTCCCGAGTCCCGCGGTACTTCATGGTGGTACACGGCTGCTCCTGGACGCGAGCTCTGTAACTCAAGAGGTCCTTCGACGACGACGTGACGACGTCGACGTCGTCGGCGTCGATGACAACTCCCGAAAAAATCAGCCAAAATTCGGTGGCCGAATCCCCCTTTTCCCCCTCCCGGGCCCCCTCCACCGAGTCAACCCCCAGCGTGTCCTTTAGCATGGCATCGCTCTCCTCCAGAGACATTTTGACTGACAAGTGTAATTGATGCATCAAGCAGTCCCCATCGAATAGCCAGCAGCATACATTTGACATGCATGCTTTGTGGATTAGCTTTCTGCAGCCTACCTCATCAGGGCCAGCGTCGCTGGTAAACATCCAAACCTCAATATGCTTCTGCAAAGACGCTGCAATCGCACCCCACTCTGAGTCCCACTCTGCCTTCGCGCACAGGATCTGCCCCTGCATGTCCGGGGCGAGAATAGCCTGGGCACGCGGGCGCGCGCGGAAGCACGGAAGCAAGCAACGGACAACCATATTGTTTGGAAATGATCTCCTCCTCCCCTCCCCTTCCTCCTCCTCCCTCCTCCTCAGCAGGGGGCCGACGGGCCGTCAGGAGCTCCTCCTGACGGCTGTGGGAGGTGGGGAGGGGTCGGGAGCTCCTCCTGACAGCGACCTGGACCAGGTGGGCATCGGGAGCTCCTCCTGACAGCCTGACGGCTCTGGTCGTATTTCTAATCTTCCTCATTCCTCATCCTCCCTCGTCCTTCCATCCTCCATCCTCCCTCCACGTTCTCCCCCTCCTCCCCCTCCTACCTACACCTCTTCATCACCGCGCCCCCTCCCTCTCTCCATCTCTCTCTCTCTCTCTCTCTCTCTCTTTCTCACTCCTATTTTATTCCCTACCTCTCCTCATTTCCTCTCGCTCATACTATTTGTAGTCAGCGCGGCACCAGTGGTCCAAGTGGTGGTGCAGCGTGTGAAGCTTCCTGTGAAGCAGCTGCATGAGGCACGAGCTGAGCAGCCTCACCAGCAGCGTGTTGTTGCAGTGGCAGGCAGTTGGAGACTCCCTGGATCCAAGCAGATGCACCAGCAGAGGAAAGCTGCTTCAAGGCCATTGAATACGCGTGGAGCGTGGTGCCGCCAGAGCACACCTGAAGATCGCCAAGGTCACGCCGGAATCGGAAATTCTGAAGCACCCAACCAAAACTGTCATACTCATAGATCGGCACAGTAGCATACCCAACCCCCACTTCGAGCGTGTGCAGCTTGGAGCTTTGCCACACATGCGTATTGGTAGCGTCTCCTCTGACAGTATGGACGGACACTGTTACAGCAGACCCCTGTACTGCTTCATGCACGTGGGCGATGCGATTCACCATGTCGTGAGAAAAACAACGTGCTGACGCAATCATGGCGGCGCGGAGGTGGATCTCATACTTGGTGACCGTGTTGCCAGTCACATCTAATTCACAAGCTAAGCCCATGCACATGGCTGGAGCATTTGATATGCACCTGCGCATTGCCAATCGCATCCCACCCTGCACACTGAAATACCTCTGAGAATAACCCCTCTTCCCTGTGTCTGGGTCTTCCTGCAGCATCTGCTTCTCGAGATCACGCACTTTCTCTGCTAACTGGTGGATGCGATTATCCTTCCGAGCAATCTTTCGAGTTGCATTGTGGCGGTACTCTTTGAACTTTTTTGAGAGAGCGTCCATGTCAGCAGATCTGTCCGATGATTGAGAATCAGCAGTCGTCGGGCACGGGCTTGACGGGACTGGGACGAGGCTGAGGCTGCTTGAAGGGGTCAAGGGATCTGGACCACGAGATACCGGCACTATAGAACCAAATCCAGGCAAAGGGAAGCTAGCCGCTGGAGGATCGGTACTGGCAGGCACGGGCACGGTGGTGACCTCCACGGAATTCTCGAAAGGCACCTCCCCTCGAGCAACCCCTCATCCTCTCCTTTGCCTCTCCCCGCCCCTCTTCCTCCCCCGAAGCGGTGCCGATCAAAGGGGACGAGCCGCCCACTGCGTGGCGAGATGCGTGTGCAACCAGCTAGAATGCGTAAAAAAAACTCTCCTCTCGCTTCCTCTCTTCTCTCGCCTCTCCGTTGCCTCTCCTCTCCCCTCTCCCCTCCCCTTCCCATTACCTCTCACCTTTCCTCCCCTCTCCCTTCCCTTCCGTCCATCCCCCTCCTCCTCATCTCGTCCTCTCACCCCCCCGGCCCGTGCTTCTAGCAAGACAAGGAACGCCCATCCCTGCCCGACCGCAAGGCCAAGTAACACCATGCACTTCTCCCACTGAGCCTCTGGAATAGAAGCACCCGCGCTGCGCACCAGGCGCCGAAAGTTGAAGAACGTGAGCTGGTCCTACCACCCGCGGAGATCATCCTCATCCTCCTCCGCCTTCTTCCCCCCTCCCTCCTCCTCCCCCTCCTCCTCCCCCTCTTCCCCTCCCCTACACTCCTGCGGAAGCGTCTTGGCCTCATTCAGGGCCGCATTCGTGTCGAACGTCGCGAACCTTGCCACGCTGCTGATCGCGGCGCACAGGTGGTCTGGGCTCGTGAAGCTCAACAAGCCAGACTCGACAGTGCATCGGCCATGCACCGCAAAAGCGAGAGAGCGCGCAAGCATTCCAGCGAAACAAATATGGCTTGGTCAAAAAGCTCAGTCACGTAAATAGCATTTCCCTACAGTCAACCCAGAGAATAAGGATGCGCGATAAGGATGCAAGGCCCTTGGGAGGCCATGTTGACATTTCCGAATATGCAAAACTTAAGGACGCAAGGCAAATCCTAAGGATGCAAGGGTACCCTTAGGAAAGTTGTTTGTCCATATTATGCGGGTTGACTGTACTTGCACACACCCATCTTGCTCATTTTCCTACTATCCTACTACTCTTCTCCTCCTCCTTCCCTCCTCCTCCTCCTCCTCCGCGTTCCTCCAAATCCTTTTTTTTTTTCTTCGGTCACGAGCGCCGAAGTCAAGCTCAGGACAACAATTGTCCTACGTTGGTCTCTGTCACGAGCGCCAAAGTCAAGCTCACGACACTTATTGTCTGTCCCGAGCCACGCCCGTGAGCTCACGACAGCGAGGGGGGGTGACCACCCGAACGCCCTGGAGTTCCATCCCCATTCAAGAATAGTCAAAACATAGTCAATGGATGATGTTTTGAATATTTGTTTGGCCATTTTGGAGTATTTGTTCAGTTTTTTTCTTTTCATTTTCCGTCGAAGATTCCCCTGTAGGGGGACACGCCCGACTTGATTGCAGTTTCAGTTCCCCGCCTCCCCCCTTTGCCTTCCTCCCCCCCTCTCCGCGGCCTTCTCCGCATCTGCTCCAGAAGCGAGGCTCGCGTCCCCACGCCGCCGCCGCAAGCGGCCGAGTTCCAGGCGACCGCCGGGGAGGAGCAGGAGGAGGAGGAGGAGGAGGAGGAGGAGGAGGAGGAGGAGGAGGAGGAGGAGGAGGAGGAGAGGTGAGGAAGGGAAGGGAAGGGAAGGGAAGGGAAGGGAAGGGAAGGGAAGGGAAGGAGGAGGAGGAGGAGGAGGAGGAGGGGAGAAGCAGGAAAAAGAGACTGAGAAGGAGGAGAACAGAGAGCAGGAGGAGAGGAGGAGGAGGAGGAGGAGGTCGCCATGAAGGAAACTTGTATTGCGGGAGACGGGTCCTGAGGCCTGTCTCTTTTACTTAGCCTCCCGGGACCCTCCACGGGCCCCAGAGCTGTCAAACAGTTATTCATCATGAAATTATAACCTGGGAAATGCCGCGGTGTTTGGGACCCGTCTTCCTCTGGGCTCCCCTCCTTCATGCTAGAAACAGATGCGGAGGATATTGAGAGGGGGGAGGAGGGAGGAGGGAGGAGGGAGGAGGGAGGAGGGAGGAGGGAGGAGGGAGGACGAGGAGGAGGAGGAGGAGGAGGCGGAGGAGGAGGAGGAGGAGAATGAAGGAGGAGGGAGGAGGAGGAGGAGGGAGGAGGGAGGAGGGAGGAGGGAGGAGGAGGAGGAGGAGGAGGAGGAGGAGGAGGAGGAGGAGGGGAAGGAGGAGGGAGGAGGAGGAGGAGGAGGAGGAGGAGGTTGTTGTGGAGCGACCTAAAGTCAGAGAAAACGATTAAAAGACCCCCCCATCAGAATCAGAGGACGCCTCATCCTCATCCTCCTGGCGGGGCCTACCCTCGGCCTGCCCGAGCTCCCTGACGTCTTGCAGGTCCTCTTCGGACAGGCCGAACGCACTGAGGACCTCCTGCTTGGAGGCGAAGCCCGTCCTCGCACGGGCAGAGGGCCTCCCTGCGGGCGCGGCAGCCGAGGGAGCACAACGGACAGACAGCAAATCTCGCTCCGTCTGAGAGAGGCAGCGAGCCGACGAGAGGGTCAGGAACTTCGACGATGCTCGACCATGAGGGTGCTTCCCTTCCCGAATTCTCTTCAGCTGATGCTTCACCTGCGGGGACCTCGGCCTGTGCAAGCAACTGTCCAACATAAGCACACCTGGGCGGAGGTCCTCACAATATGCACCGCACTTGACGCAAAACACAAGCGGCATTCCTGACTTCTGAGGCGAGTCGATCTCGCATCTCATCAGGGCATGCCCGTTCAGGTAAAAGGCACTGGTGGCAACCTCTTCCCAATCGAGCCCGTCCGGCCCCCCAACGTCCACCCCCTCCCCGCCCACAGACTCATCAATCTCAGGCTCAGGCTGAGGCGGCAACTCGTGAGAGTCAGGTGCACACTTTTCCGAAGCTTCAAGGCCGAAAGTGTCCAGACGCTTTTCCGCCTGACCTTGCAGGTGCACCTCTAAATGTGCAGCCCACTTGGCAGACTCTTTCACAAGACACTTGAGACCTCTGTACAAGTCAACGTCCTGCTGGCAAAGTTGGTGCTTGGCAGCACCCATCTTCGCGTAAGAGTCTACCGAATCATTGGCTCGCTTCTCCCACAGGGTCGTCTTGCCACTGTGGACATCCAACATCGAGCAGTGAGCTGCCGTCTTAAACGCCGTGAAATCCCCTGGAGAGAAACTGGACCAGAAGGGGGCCCACAGGTGGGCCCTGGGCCCTCCAGCCGAGGCCCCCGCCCCTTGGCCACCCCAGAGGACATCCAGAGTTCCCTGGCAGTCACAATATAAACCAAACGGTGCCATCGCACACAGATTCAGCATGTAAGCAGCATAGTCTTCCCATCCTTGGCCGTTTGGCGAGGCCCATGGGGGAAGGGGACGGGTCCGTAACAAGCCGGGATGACATTGCCCAGGGGATCGGCCTGGACTAAGGCCCAACCAGCCCTCGAAAGCCCAGGAATCCCTGGCCAAGAAGCGGACCCATCCGAAAAACTTAAACCACTGAGGCGGCCTGTCTCAGGCCTATTAATCCAAAACACAGTCTGGTCAGGCTCCTGGGCAGGGAAGAGCGCCAACAGCGACGGAAAGATCGCACGCGCGAATCTCTCAGCAAGCTCCTCCCCTCCCTCGAGCACACGGGCCGCCCGTTTGGCGAGCTGCGGCGAGACCATGTCCCTCCTGAGCACAGCGTGGGCCGAGCAACGAAATTGTCTGTGAAAAAGGGTCACCGCTTCCTCCTGACACAGCCTACACTTGCCGCAACTGTGATACCCATGCCTGTGCACTCTAGCTTGAGGCCAGTGCACATTACTCATGAGGCTCCTGAGGGCCCTCTGATGCTGGGGCTTCCAAGAGGAGGAGGAGGAGGAGGAGGAGGAGGAGGAGGAGGAGGAGGAGGAGGAGGAGCGAAGGAGAGACCTCACAGCATCCCAGAAAAGAGGGTACCCTTGGAGCTCATCTCCTACCTGCATCAGCGCCTGCCTGTCCGATGCTCTGACGGCAGCCGCACGGACCTGCAACCGAAACCCCACAGGCGCGATCTGAGAGAGATTCCAGACCTGCCCGAGGTCTGATTCGACCGTTCGAAAATCACGAAACTTCCAGCCCACACGAGCAAGACTGAGCACTGCCACATCCGCAGGAGTCGCAGCTCCCTGCCATGGGTGCCTTTTCGAATTGGCTCGAGCTATGGCCGCGTCGGCCGTCGCATTCAAAATCGAAACCTTGGGAAAACTATCCCAGACCGCAGTGGCCCATTGATATGCCACATGGCCAACATAGGCCACAAACGGGCCAACGATTTCTCCCAGACGGAAAGAATGCAGCCGAATTCCCAGGGAGGCCCCTTTGGGATGACGTCCTAGAGCGTGAGCCGCCGAGAGCCTTAGGCCATGCATGGCCGTCGGCGAAATTCCCAAGACACTACTGCCCGAGAGGGCCGACGCCGTGGCCCCCATTCTCTGTACAAGAGCCACATAAGCCCCAGCCTCCCTCAGCAGTCGAAGTCGCTTCGAGCGCGAACCTGCATCGATGAACCTCGCTCGCTGCACTCCAACACGTCGTCGTGAGCCCGTCGTCGCATCCGCGCCGAGGTTGCGCGCGTGCTCGACCCGAGACGTACCAGGCAAGCACCAGGACCCCACAACATGGGCCTGAATCTCTCGAGTTCACAAGTACTTCGTTTTCTTGATGTTCACAGGCAGGTGGAGCTCCTCAAAGCACGAGAAGAGCTGAGTGACTGCACTCGATAGCACCTGAGCTACCGGAACTGGCCGACCACACGCCTGTAGTGCAACGTCGTTTGCAACATTGCGGATGAATAAATTCGGCCTACCTTGCTGTGTGAGAAGAAGCGGACGGAGCAACAATAACTTAGCCAGTGTCGTCGCTCCTGAGCATCCAGCCACCACAGCTGCATTCGCCAAGTAGGCCGACGATACGGCACCTCCATACATCAGAGCTTTATATCCAGCATAGATCGTACAGTACCCTCTGAGGACCTTGATGGGGAACCCATACTGGGGCCCCGCAGCCCTGAGGTCAAGGTGCCTAATGTGCTCATAGAAGCGGCTCAGGTCGACCAAGACAGACCCGCTCTGAAACCCAACTTCCTGGCAGAAACCTCCCAAGAGATTGTGGACCCAGCCAGCTCTCTCACAGGTATTTTGTGGCCCCGTGCCCCAATAGAAGGCCTCTGCATGCTTCTTCTCCCATGCCTGACAGTATGGCTGGCGGAGTCGCGACCACAAACGCAGCACCAGGCAGAGGAGGCCGATGGGGCGCACGCCGCCGTCGGGCTTGTCTAAGAAGACCACGTTGGTCAAGAAGGCGAGAAGATCCTGTGGTCTGTCCTCAAACCTGTACAGAATATCTAAAAGCCTTAGCTTGGTTTTCCTCCGTGAGGTTCAGAACCCATCTTGGGTGAAAACCATCCCGCCCCAAGCCTGCACCAGGAGCATACTTACGACAAACTTTCAGGAGCCGGTCCAGGGCAACAGGTTCCAATTGGGCTTCATCAACAGGGACAGACCACTGGGATGGGTGCTCGTCCTGCCTATCCGCTACACACCACAGCGGCACCCATTGATCTAGAAGAGCCGAAAGTGCTCCAGCACCTA